TTTCACAAAGGGAATCTTCCCATCCTCCATAAAATGAAAACCCTTTTAGCTCTGAGACTGTTGTGCATAATTACATTACAAATGTCAAGTCCCTCTTCCTTCCTCCCAGCCACATTTCATGTGCCATGGCCTTTGGCTAGGTGGCCTAGGGAGTCCTTTCTCGGTGATGGGAAGGAGGTTTAGGGAGCTCAGCTCCTGTCACTGGTGCCATGGGGACAGATGGGACATGCGGTGGTGGTTTGGCTGAATGTGCTGATTATGACCGACTCTTCCGTGGGTAACGTGGGCAGAGACAGCTCATCCCTCAGGGAGCAGCAGGCAGCTCTGGCACTGGGGTCTCCTGGCTTCACAACCTGGACCGTGCCTGGCGGGAAGTCGGGGCCTGATTTTCCAGCCAGGTGTTTCGCCACTGAGTATTTATGATACAAAAAGATGAGTTTACTTTTTTTTTTTTTTTTTTTTGTGCAAGACTTCTGTAGCGAGGTCTTCACCACACGGCTCTCTCTCCATTTTCCCTGGCCAAGAACTCCCCTGTCACTAATTACACCGCTAAGCAATTTACAGCCCCTGGCTTCACACTAGGAAGATCAGTTTCTGGGCTTTGAGTAGAACCAAGTGCTGTCACTCACTGACATAAATTCTTACAGTTTTTGTTTTTATTTTATTAGTATTTTTTTTTAAGTTTGGCACTCACACCAGTGTCACCTTAATACTGTGGTGGTGTGTGGTGGGTGTCGTGAGGCGAGTGTTGGGCTTTGCTATACATCAGGGGAGGACGTGCAGTCACACCGCCATCAACCTGAGCCTGCACTTAGGAAGGACACATCAACTCAGGTCACATTTTAAATGTGTTATGCCCTTCAGGTCCGTCTGCATCCCCAAGGCACAAATTGGTGCCTGTGGGTAACTAGGTGGGAAAAGGGGCTTAGAAACCCATGAATTTGTTTACCTGTGTGCAGATTCTTCATATTCATGGAAAAAAAGAAGAACCAAATCCACACACTCCCCGCCTGGAAATGTTATTTATAATTCGGCTGGGCTCATGCCACACTTGTTAACAAGAGCGCACTGGATTCAGCTGTTGTCTGAACTGCATGTTTATTCAACCATTCACGAGTATTTATAATACAAAAAGATGAGTTTACTTTTTTAAAAAAAAGCTAAATGATGTGCCTTTAAAAAGGAAATGACAGCACGGCATCTGTCACTTTTTGGATCACTATAACTGGATTTCCATCGACTCTAAATGACTGTGGTGCTAACTATCTAGTCCTTTCTTTGCTTCCACTGGTGGCCTCTCTGGTCATTTCACTGCTTGCGACATTCTCTATGAAGAGAGGTTCAGGAGTGTGGCAGGACTGAGGCCTTCCTCTGCCATGAGGTTGCAGCTGGGGAAGAGGGAGGGAGAGGAGGTGGGGGTGTGGAGGAAGAGAGGAAGGGTTACAGGGAAGGGGAGAAGAAGAGGCAGCAGATGGGGAAAGGAATGAGAAGGGGGGAGTCCTACTGTTTCAGAGAAGCTTCCTGGGAGGCCACCCACGTGCCTTCCTCTCCCTCAAAGAACTGAGAGTTCATCAGACATCTGAGCTCTTGCTCCTGCGCTTGGCGCTCCGTAAGAGCTCAGAAAATAGCAGTTACACTTGGGAGACAACTGACACAATTTTAGGTGACTCTGATCTCTTGGGGGGTAGCTTATTTTTACCATTTAAAGGAAGAGACAATGCCTATACTTGCTTTTCCAGCCTGAAGAATCTTCTCATCGTTTTCATAGCTTAATGGTTGAGTGGCTGTTGGGGCTGCATGTTTATTTTCCTGTCACAAATTTTGAATCACTTGGGACGCATGGCAATTGGGAACGTGGCATCTATCTTTCCATGTGATGGCTATGTACAAGTGTTTTTTTTTTTTTTTTTAAATACTTCTACTCTATCTTTTTCCAAAAGAGAAGAAACACTTCTGTTCTGTCAGCTAGAAAACTACTTACACATACTGTTCATCAGAAGAACAAGTGATAACCACTTCTTTGTTGCTTCAGAGGGTGACAAAATGATGTTAGCCTTGGCTTAGCAGATTGAGAAACATTTCCTCTTGTGACTAGTTCAAGAAACCACAGATTGCAATACAACCATTTAGTTGTTACTGTTCCAGACTTGTCTTTGCGGTCTATACATTAGGAAGTTCCTTGCCGTTTTGTTTCCATTTATGTGTGTACTTTTCTATCTATCATGTTCTTAAAACCATTCACTGGAAGTGTGTGGTGTTTTGAGGACCTCCAGTGGTAAGTCATCAGGTGTGACTTTGGAAAGCAAATTTATTTCCACATTGTCTGTAAGAATGATTCTCAGGGGGAACCAGCAGTTAGCGTAATGGCTATGTTGCTGGACTCCCACGTAGTCAACCGTAGTTCACGTCCCGGACCCGGTGGCTTAAAACTCACGCCGGGTGCGTGTGCGTGCGTGCCCAAGATCCCGAGAGGAGAATGGAGGAGAAGGAATTGTGGCGTGACCATCCCCCCTGGGGGGGTGATTTCTCGCTTTCTGTCTCTATGTCTCTCTCTCTCTGTCTGGTGAGCACACGCGCCCTATAGCAAAAACCTTTCTGAAAAAAAAATAAATAAAAGAATGATTCTCAGGACCCAGCAGATGGAAATAATGATTACGTTGCTGGACTCCCACATTAGTTGACTGTGGTTTGAGTCCTGGACCGAGCAACTTAAAAACCCATGCCAGGCATGTGTGCATGTGTGCTCAAGATCCTAAGAGAATGGAGGAGGAGGAATTGCAGTGTGGTCATCCCCAACCGGGGATGACTTTTTGTTTTTAGTCTCTCTGTCTAGCGTGCACATGCTCCCTATACTAAAAAATCTCCTAATAATAATAATAATAATAATACCCTATGATTCTCATCTCCTGTTTTCATAAGTGGGTGAAGTTCACCTGAACAATTTATACGGCCAAACCTTAATTATGAATGCAGTTGACCAACAGATTGTACTCCCATTACAGCCCTCCCTGGGGATTAATTACCAGCTGCCTGGCTGCTTAGCAAGGCCAGGGAGAATAAGAGGGCAAGGGAAGGTGGTGAGGGCCAGGAGAGCCATGGGGCTGGAGGGCGCAGCTGCAGCAGCCACCAAAGAGGAGAAAAAAATGGGCCCACCTGGGCCACTCTTAAACTCCCCTAAGCCCAATTATCTTCAAATGTGTTCATTAGCAAAACAACAAGAAAAAAGAAATATGAATTTGGCTTTCAAGCCCCAAATTCTGTGCCCTACTTAGCTCATTAAAGTCCAAGTAATCCTTGAAGAGTATAACTTAGTATTCTCATTTCTCAGGGAAGTTTACGGAGACGAAGGCGCAGACCTTGTCTGTCACCTTACTCTGGGTGCAGGTCAGGGATAGGGAAGGGGATGGAGGAAGATGACGGACAGTGCTCATGTGTTTGTGTGCCTCCAAAATTCATGTGTTGAGGTTGGTTGTGGTGAGATCAAGAGGGTGAAAACATCATCCAATTATGGTACTGAAAGGTGGAAGGAAATTAGGATGAAGGTTATCGGGGTGGGTGGCTGTGATTGAACGATGGTGGGCTTATAAGGAGAGGGAAGGAGGCAGACACTCATGGATACGCTCAGTTCTGCTCTTGCCCTTGGGATGTGACATCTCAGGGACCCTGCAGCGACTACCAGATGTGGTCCCTGGACCTTACACCTCCAAACCATGAGCTGAAGAAACCTTTATTTCAGAAGTCTTCCAGTGCCAGCTATTTTCTGTTATTAGATGGATGATCGTTTCCAGATGATACACCTTAGGAGATGTCATCCACTGGGTCTCAGGAGAGCCCTACGAGGCAGGCATAGCTGTCACTACTGCTGTTGTTTCCCTGATCAGGAAGCTGGGACCCCGAGATTGTCAGCACATTTTCTGATTTTCACTGGAGTTAGTGGTTGGTAGTCTGTCTCAACTGGACCATGAGTCATCAGAGGGCAGCTCACTGCTGCTCTCCAGATCTTAATTTTTCCTGACGCACACAGACACGATTCAATGATTGCTGGACAACTAAGGTTGAAAACAGGATTCAGGCTGAACTCTTGAAACCTATCTTCTGTCTTCCAGGCTTGACCTTCCTTTACACCTACTTTTTTTTTTCCCCTGTAAAAGCCTAAATAATTTTTGGCAACATGTTATCATTTGTCACTTTCAGCCTCTCGAGAGCATTTTAGGATGCTATTTTTATTCATCTTCTTCTCTTGTTTCCCTTCCTTTTAAATTGATGCCAGGAATGGAAGTTATCCTTGGGTTTCAGTGCTGGAATTGGGTGAAGGATGACAGGATATTTTTTCCAGTATAAGAATCATTTCTACTGTTATAAAGAATATAGCATTTTGGAGGAAAAAGGCTTTCAGGAGTAAATCACTGTTATTCTTTGCCTATTATAATTTACGAAAACAAAAATGCTCGTTGTTCTGGCAGCACAAGCTCATCGCTAGCCCACAACACAGGTGCTTAGACGATTAGGACTCTTCGTCTTGGCATTTTGACATCCTGGCCACTGACTCTGTTAATACTGGTTGTCCCGTCTGCTCTAAACGCCCACCAGGACTTAGCGGTGCATTCAAAGTTAATGTTCCAGTCTACCCTCTCTTTTTAAAGGTTTTTTTTTTTTCCCTACCTTTCTTCCATGACCTTGAGAGGGACAGAGGCAGACAGAGCCAACAGGGTCTTTATACCATGATCTAGTTTTTGCTAGACCCCGATCAGGGGTATGTGTGCAGCCAATAGACTCAGGAAGGTCTCCAGATGCAAATCTGGAGCCTTCCCACGTGGGTCAGCCTCGAAGAGTATTGTGTTACTGCTATGCCACCATCCGGCCCCTCCAATTCCCTGTGATAGGAACATTCAAATGACCAAGTCTCTTGAGAGAAAATGTGCAAATGAGACACATGTGACCCTTCTACCCATGAGCTTCACTTCATCTTGCCCCACACCATACTGAGAGTCCAAACTTACATGTCATCGAAGACAAGCTTCTGCCTCTTGCATTCCCTGTGGCCGTTGGAGCCTGGAGACCACGGCTCTGTTTGTGGCCGTGACTTGTGGAGAACATTTTCAGAGTTGTTGTGAGCGGCTTTCTAAACAACAAACAACACATGACTTTTTGAGACACCTGGCTGAAAGTGCAACCCATTAAACAGAATAATATCTTCCATTCTAGAGACTATTCTTGTGTCCTATATTACTAGGTCATTGGAAAAGCCATGACATTTTTCTATGCAAAAATGTGTCATGATTTTTCCAATGACCTAATAGAATCGATGGTGATTTTGTTTCAATTAAAAAAATACATGTGTTCTATCTAGGCCTTTAGCTGAGGGCTTTTATATATGTTGTAAAATGTCTTTATCACAACCATATAAAAAGGGAACTCTGTATTTTTATTGCTAGAAGGTATGTGCACACATGAGAGAGAGAGAAAGAGAGTCAGAGAGCGCAAGTACCCCCTCGATGGAGTGTGGCTATACTGCAATTCTTTTCTATTTCTCCACTCATCCCGATTTTGGGCACACATGTGCACACACCTGGAGTGTTCAGCAAGTTGCCAGAATCTGAACTGCACCAGCCATGTGGAATCTGGTTCTCTTAAGCACTAAGATATAGGCTGGCTCAAGGAAGTCTTATTACCCCAAGCTGAGGCTAAATGAGACCTAGAAACTGAGGCTCAATGAAACTCAAATGGCCGCTGTGAGAGAAGGCCCGGATGCCAGGCCTCAGTGCCCTGCTCTTCCCAGCTGCCAGGCCTCAGTGCCCTGCTCTTCCCAGCTGGCTAGACCAGGGGCTGGCCAAGGTGAGTGTGCCTCAGAATTAGCTGGTCACTTGCTGAAACGGAATGAAGTCGACCCTGAGCATTTCTGATTCAGCAGGTTGAAGGCAGGGTCTGAATATCCACATTTCTATCAAGTTCTCAGGTGCTGGCCCAGGAATTAATCTTTCAGAACCACTTAGCTCTAACGGTCCTTTGCCAAAAGAGAAGTCATTCACCAATTAGCTGGTTCTCCTTAGTTGTTTGTGAAGAACAGAGAAAGCCTAAGGGAATCACTAGAAAGATTTAAACTGCATTTTAAAAAGGAACACAGTAATCTGTGAAAAAATGAAAATACCGCTTTCCCTGGAGATACAAACATGTACACAGCACCTACTGTGTGCTAAACTCATGGGCTGCAGAGCTGTCCGTGGTCAGGAAGTGAAAATGAATTCCTCTGAAATTATTAAAATGTACTGGATACAAATGCTTCCTTAAATTTGGGCCGATTTTATGTGTAACACTTTAAGGTGAGATTCCATTACTATATGCGACCAGGAAAAGCAGATGTTAAATTTTGAAAACTGTGCTTCAAAGCCTTCAGCGATGCTCACCCCCTGTTTGATAAAGGGAGCAATATCAGTCAAGTGGCCTTGATAGCCCGTGAGTCTGTCTCTCAGGCCCTCTCTCATCTGCCCTCTGCACTCAGACTCGTGGGCCAGTTTTCAGTTCTCCCTCAGGACCTTTGCGCATGCTCCTTCCTCTGTCTGTAGTGTTCTCTACCTTTCCTGTATGGCTATTTGCCTTTTGGAGATCTTATATCAAGGATTGACTGCCTATGACTTGAGGGTCAAACCCAGCCCTTTTTGTAAATAAAATTTCATTGGAAACCACTCATGCCTATTGGTTTATACCTTGTCCACAGCTACTTTTCTGCTACAATGGCAGAGTTGAATCATGGTGAAAGACCCTGCATGGCCCACAGAGCCTTAAATTATTTACCATCTGACCTTTAATAATAGCAGTTCTCAACTGGGTCCAGTTCGACAATATCTGGAAACATTTCTGGTTGTCACCTTGTACAGAAGTCTGATTGCTTTTTTCTATTTTTCCAAAATCCTTTCCAGAGGGCATAGAGGGAGCACGTCCATAGATGCTGACAGACCACTCTGAACCATTGGTAACAGGGTTCTTCCTATGTCCTGCCCCTGCATAGTACTGGAGTATATTTGTGATGTATATTAGGCCTCTTTATTGTTGTTAAAGTACATTCCTTTCTGATATCAGCAACCTTCCTTTTCCAATCACCTAAAAACTGTAAAATCCACCTATAACCTATAAGCCCCGACTCCTACATGTCTCACCTTTTTGGGCCAGACCAATGGAAAAACTTTTCAATAAATTCCAAACTCTGTCTCTCACTCTCAAAATCAAAAGGAACGCCTGTACCTGATCACCCTGAGAGAAAGTCATGTTTTGCCTCCTCTCTGGCCTAGGTCACTCATTTTGTTTAGAAATAAATTGTATTAATTGTTATTTTTACAGAGTTGGTTATTTTTATGTCGACACACCACAGGGAGTAGGGTTCTACTAGCAACTTGGGGGTGGAGGCCAGGGATGCTGCTAAACATCCTCCAGTGCACAGGACAGTCCCCTAGTTCCCTGGGCAAAGAATGATTCAGTCCAAATATCAATGGTGCGGTGAATCCCTGCTTCACAGAAAATGTTGGCCACTCCCTGTGCTAGATCAAGCCCTATTGTTCTAAGGGCTCCTGGTCTTTGTTGCATTTCCTTTTAGGCTCAAAGAGATTATTAAGCAAATGGCTCAAGACCATCTTGAGGCTGGCCCAGTGGCCTAGTAGTTAAGGGAGCCAGATCCAACATGGCCATCTGTGCAATTTAAATCATGGCCCTTGCAAGCTGACAAACATGCTGGGCATGTGTGCCTGCATGTCCATCTTCGACAGGATGAAGAAATGAAGGAGAAGGGATTAAGGCATGACCTCACCCCGTTGGGTGGTGCTTTCTCTCTCTGTTTCTCTATGTCTCTCTGGCAAGAGCACATGTCCTCTGGCAAATTTTTTAAAAAGTTCCAAAAAAGACATAAGGTCATCTTGCAGCTCTGTGAACACAAGTCCTTTGCCTGGTTGGACAAGGGTGATGAGGCTCCTATGCCAATCAGCAAGGGTGGAGTGGGACTCCCACAGATGTTGGTGTGAGGTTTCAATGCCAGATTGAACTCTGCTGCGATAAGGAGTATTTCCCAGTACAAAGGTTGGTTGGTCCAAAACTCCCAATTTCCTTTGTCCTGCGATGCCATTACTTTTGTAGTCATTTCTTTTCAGTATGGGAAATGAAATCATGCCAAGAGGCTTCCTCATCATAAGAGGCAAAGAATCCACTCCCTCAACCTTGGGTTTCCTATTCCTCTGCTCCCCATGTGAAGGGGTGGAAGGGTGATCTTTCCTGTAGGGTCTCCCCAGAAGCAGTGTTCAGGGATTCTCTGTGGGCCCTCAAGCATGTGTCTAGATTGTGCTAGGCTAAAGACAGAGTTCAGGGGTGCTCAACTTCGTTTTGATTTTACTTAGAAATGAAGAGCATCAACGAACCGGAAGGTCTCCAGCATGAGACTGTGGCTGGTTGTCGGCCTTATGCTTTTTGTTGGAAGAGGTGGACGTGAACAAACCATTGCCGTGAGGTCGGCCGGAAGAAGTGAAGTCCTCACTGGGGTATTTGTGTTTAGATGCATCGCAGAGGGGTGAGATGGGTGACCGGAGCATTTTTTCACTTTTATTTATTGGTATTGCCAGGCTGAAAGAGAAATGACAGTAACGGAATGTCACACAGTCAGTGTGAGAAAAGGGAAATGTTTTATGGGTGATCCAAATCTCCCATGTAAGTTCTGCTGGTACGAAGAAGTTTATTGGAAATTATTATACCAAGACATAATTTTATGACATTAGGACCATAATAAACAACAAGCAAACCTTATTCTTACTCTCCTTATCAGGATGAAATGTAACTTTAGAGTTAGTGTTAAAGTAAATGGCTACTACTACTAATAATTTCGTTTTTCTCAGTTTTTCACCCAAGGATCTCAAAATATCCAATAAACAACTTTTTTTCCAAGCAAGTGTAAACAGTAAGTAATGGGGAAGTCAATCAACAATAGCAAATGCATTTTCCATTTCTAAAAGGACTTATGCCAAAATCTGAGCTTCTACTAAATATTATAGAGAAAATAATAGAATCACAGAATAACCTGTAAAGCATGAAGCCAAGGTTCAATTGCTGAGTTTTTGAGTTAATCAGCCATTGATCAGAACATTCACAGGATAGAATAAACCATTACATGAAGTTACAATTTCTGATTCCCATTTTTTAATTTTACCTTCAAAACTACTGTCTATGTCTGAATATATTCTTTCCAAACATCAACCATCAGAGAAGAGGGATTCACATATTAAATCTTTTTAACGTCTATTATATTGCTAGGCCTTGTTCTCTCTCTCTCTCAAAAAAAGTATTATTCGGGGAACAGACATTAGTCTGAAATAAACAATTGCTAATATAGGATGGTTAGAGGAGTTACCTAATCAAGTCAGTTAAAATAAAGTAAAGCCAATTAAATAAGCTTTATTATTATTTATTATTATTATTTATTGGGTTATCAGAAAAGTCATGACATATTTTTCTATGCAAAAAATGCATGACTTTTCTGACAACTCAATATTATTTTTTATCATTATTCTTAGGGTTATGATCTCTTAATTATATGTGTTGGTTATACTGCAAACAAGCCATTAAAGGCATCTCAAAAACAATTTCCTGGGTCAGCAGGTGGCATAATGGTTAAGGCACTGGACTTGCCCATGGTCGATCACGGTTTGAGTCTAAAACCTGACAGCTTGAAACTCAGCCAAGTGCTTGTACATGCGTGCCCAAAATCCTGAGAGGAGAATGGAGGAGAAGGGATTGAGGCGTGGCCACCCCCCCCAAAGGGGTGATTTCTCGCTTTCTGTCTCTGTCTGTCTGTCTGTCTCCAGTGAGCACGTGTACCCTACACCAAAAATCTCTCTCTCTCAAAAACAAAAACAAAAACAAAACAGCATTTCCTTAGTTGGTGGTCACAGTGGAGAAATTATGAACACAATATTCTAGAACAAAAGACAAAACCAATGTTCTTAACCTTATGCACACAGACTGGATAGCATTTCTGGTGCGAAATTCACTGTGTTGCACAATTTAGAAAGGAGAAGATGTGCTATGGAAAACTGCTTCGGAAGAATAAAAACTGGCTCCCCTAGTGATCGTCGGGGCATCGATGTCGAAGATGGAGCAAAGAGCGTGCATAAAACAGTCTTCAAACGTGGGCGAACAAAGATCTATTTCAAGTCTGTTTTATTTCACCTACACATGCATTCCGCCATGCATGGAAAACGAAATTATTACACAGACTATTGTCCTAGGCACACAATTACTCCTTCTTTATCACTGCAAGTTTGCATGTTCAAGTTGACCAAGGAAACCTTTGGATTTCCACTTTGGGGTTGGTGATCACCTTATCTCGGAGATCATTTTATTGTACTGATAAAACTTGACAGGAGTAATCATAATTCCAATGGTACATGAACCACCTTTCCCAGAAAGAACTCTGAGGGCTCTCTTATGCATCGTGTCATTCCTTAATATAAATAAAATGATCAGAGTGAGGGGGCTCTGCCAGGCAAAGTCTCTAGAGCAACAGCTTTTAACCTGGACTCCAAGAACTTGGTGGAAAGAAGTTATACCTTCATTTTCGCTAACTTACTGAGATAGAACATTTCCTCCAGTGACAAGGGGAGGCAAAAAACCAGTGGGTTAGCGGGAGTAGTATTAGCATTATCTGCGATTACGTCACCAGGAGAAATCACAGAGATTTTCAAGTCCTCTTCTGGTGCTGTGGATATCTTCAAATACTGCTTATGTTTATTACTACTTGGAAATTACGACAGTTACTACGTCAGTTAGAAAGGTTATTAAAAATTCTTATTTATTTATTTTTTTAGGTTTTTATCATAGGGCACATGTGCTCGCCAGAGAGGAGAGACAGAGAGACGATGAGAGGGAAAGTGAGAAATCATCTCCTGGGGGTATGGCCATACTCTAATCCCTCCTCTTCCATTCTCCTCTGAGGAACTTGGGCAAGCTTGCACATATGCCTGGTCTAAGTTGCTTTTTTTTTTTTTTTTTTTTAGAGGTTTTTGCTATAGGGGCGTGTGCGCTCACCAGACAGACAGAGACAGAGAGACAGAAAGAGAGAAATCAGCCCTCAGGGGGGATGGCCACGTCGCAATTCTCCTCCATTCTCCTCTTGGGATCTTGGGCACACATACACATGCACCCGGCATGAGTTTTAAGCCACCCGGTCCGGGACGCAAACCACGGTCGGCTACGTGGGAGTCCAGCAACATAGCCATTACGCTAACTGCTGGTCCCAGCCTGGTCTAAGTTTTAAGCCACCAGGTCCGGGACTTGAACTGTGGTTGGCCATGTGGGAGTCCAGTGTCATAATCACTACATTCCCTGCTGGCCCCTAGAAAGATTATTTAATGCATTCATGAAGCACATATAAATCACTTTATATATATATATATATGAATTATTTTATTTAACTTTATTTATTATTATTTTTTGAATTTGACCAGAGAGAGAGACAGAGAGGGAAAACAAGAAAGCAAGGCACCAGGTCTGGGACTCGAACTGCGGTCGGCCCTGTGGGAGTCCAGTGCCTCTAACCACCATGCCACCTGCTGACCCCTCTTATTACATATTTAAAAATTATTTTGGAACCACACTTTCCTCATCACATTTTCCCAGCATCTCCAGATGCTATATACTCCACACAGAGGCCTGGGCTCGTCTGCACAGGCAGCTGCCCTCCTACACAGACCTCTGGAGTCCTCGCCTTCCTTCTCAAGGTGACCCAAGTCCTGTAGGGAGCCTGCGCATCTGGGCCCCCGCTCTCCAATTCCCTCTCTGAGTTTTATACTGCTCTCCATCTTTTCCTAACCTTTCGGTTTACATTTTTATGTATTGTGCTGGAACATCAATCTCCCCTTAAAAATTCTATGTATACAGTCAGAGAGAATAAGGAGTGTCTTGGCAGAGGGAAAGTGGTTCCTGTGCTGCGGTCTTTCTAAATGGAAAGAGCGTCTATGACTGATGATAAGTTACTCATTTATAATAAATACCTGGACCTTGCCTGCCAGCAGCCCGTTTATCAAAGAGAGGATTCAGTGCAAGGTAGGTCCATCTGGAATCCCTTTGGAGGAGTGATTGGGTGGCTGTTTGACCTTGAAGCATCGATCCTGCCTAACGCCACAATTTTAGTCTATATTCAAGAGCTTTCGGTCCATCACATGGACATTCCACTCAAAGTGTATTTATACTTATCTGTATAATAAGCTTAGTGGTCTTGTGGATTTAGTGGCTACCATTCAAATACTAGTTTGAAAATTCACTTATTAAGTTTTGCAGAGAAAGGTGCATCTTTGGGGAGTGCAGAACTGTGTGTAACTAGTGTTGGTCTTTGGTGACAAAAAAGTACCTTGCGAGGCTGTCTGGAGCCAAGGGGTGAGGCAGACATCCAGCCATAGTTACATCCAGCCCTAGGTTAAACCAAGGGAAGTGAGGGTGCAGACCCAGCCCAGAAAGGTCACCGAAACAACCTGACCCTCCCCAATATGGCCTGTGATGTCTGGACCCAGGGGCGCCACGTCGAGGGAACACGCCTACCTATTGATGTTCATATTGCAGTGGTTTGCAGACAGAGTGTTATTGGTCGAGGCAGCCAGTCTGGAAGAGCTCTCTTTGTCTCCCTGGGTCTTCTTGCTCTCCCTGTAGTCGTCTTCGTTGTCACACTGTATAGGAGTAAGCAAAAGCCAATCAGCTTGGATTTCAAGGGGCCACAAAGAGCTTCTGGGCACTGATTTTCACAGAGCAAGGCTTCCTAGGGGACCGGCTCATCCACTTCTCTGGATAGCAGAGAGCGGTTAGAGCTGCGGCGTCCCTGGCATGGTTCTTAGTCAGCTCTTCAGTGAATAAGGATGAAATATGTCACTTCTACTATTGATTGAGGGAGAAGCATGGTGTCCTCATTAAAAATTTGGGAGAGAACATATTTTTTGAATTGCTAGAGCACACATGAACTTGCAAGAGAAAGAGAGAAGAGGGAGAGAAGAGGCAGAGAAAGAGAGGGGAAGACAGTACTGCCCCATGGGGTATAGTCACACCACAATCCCTCCTCCTCCATTTCTTCATCCTGTCAGGATTTTGGGCACATACACACATGTGCCCAGCGTGTTTTTCAAGCTGTTGGGGCTGGGATTCAAACCATAGCTGGTCATGTGGGATCTGGCTTCCTTAACTACGAGGCTGTAGGGTGGCATGGGAAGGAACATCCTGAATTATGAGAACTTCTCCATCATCAGTAGCCTGGCATTTAGCCCTCCAAAGCAGACCTGTTTTGATTTCACACTGTAGCTTCAGTATCACTCAACCTTGGCATTTCTTAGCATCAAATAAGGTATAAGAAGCATGTGCTCCCAGGTTTCATGCAGACACGGCAACGGTGAGCTTGGAAATTCATGCCTTTTGCGAACTGCAAGCACGGGTTGTTACTTCTTGGTGCCTGAGTTCTACTGGTCGCCAGAAAAGTCATGATGCATTTTTTGCATAGAAGAACAGACAACTACACATGACTTTTCTGACAACCAATAGCTCACAATTCCTATTCTGTGACATTTCAGAATCCTACTCTTTTATAAAGCAGAACTTTAACTGGATTCCAATTGCCAAGGTTGTGTTTCACTTTTGGCACGTACTAGGGTACGATGCAACTGTACTCTACAAAGCTCCATTTTTGTGAGAGAGCCGGAGCCCAGTACAGCATCTTCAGTGTCTGCAGCATTTTCCAGAAGGTACATGCCTGCACCAAAGAGGGAGAGACTGACCTCTCTCTAGCTGGGTTGTCACAGAGCCTCTGTCTCAGGGAGCCCCAGATGTTCACACTGCAATGTGCTCCCCTGGAGAGCCCAGCCAAAGCTTTGAGTTCTCAGTGCTCTCTGCTGGGTGAGACTCAGCACCTTGGACAATCAGGACTATGGGATCCCACCTCCAGCACCCAGGACTGGGGTCTTATCATCCCAGAAAGCTGAGTGAAGGGTACTGTGAAAATGTTCTTTCACGTCTCTTGCGTCGGTGCTTAAGGATGATTCATTAGATTTTATAAATACAGCCAGGTGTCAGGCTTAGCATAAATGAAGTTTTGTAAGATAAAATTAAGAAGCCCATAAATTGGAACGGCCGGCCCCCCTCCGGGGGCCCCACGGCCGGGGGCTCCCGCCCCTGCGCAGCTGCGGCCCAACGGCCGGCACCCCTCCGGGGGCCGGCCTCCCTGGCCTCTCCAGCGCTGGATGTCCCAGAGGCCGAAAACAAGGTTGAAGAACTTGCAACTTGAGAAGATGATAGCTACCAGCCCTGCATTACCTCAGGGGAAAACAAGAACTACTCTGCCATTCTTAAGGAAGCCAGATACCCAAGGACAACTCACACTGCAGATCCCCACAACACCATTCCTGGTAACTACAAGATGACTGCTGTGCCGCATCAGCTGATAATCATCCCTGCGTACCAGAACTGCTTTCCTGAAACTGCACTCCCTGGAGACTCACCTACACTTGTGGATCTGCAGGAGACCCTCCCTTAATCCAACCCTGAGTGGAGTTTATGCTCCCTATTGCCAAAAACTTTATGAGCTGATGGTTGGAACTCGTGGCCTCTCTCCCTTTACTTGTATGTATCACTTTTTCAGTAACTCTTCTGGAAGACAACTGTATATAGCAGGGATATTGTAATGGGAGAGTGAGACAGGGCAGAGGGACAAACATAGGAAAAAAAAATTAGTATGCTCTTTTTACCCAATGGGGTTTAGGCCTAAAGTCAGACTTGAGTTCATGTAGAGGCATGTGTCAGCTGTGATAACTATTGGAGAGACTTAGACTAATTAAGATCACTGACAGATCATTTGGGGAGGGGTGAGGCACGGAGGGCAATCGGGGATGACAGGGACAATGTGGGAGGAGGATGGGTCATAACAGAGGGAGGGGGATGGGGAATCTAGGATGGCAAAACAAAAGGCAAGGTATGCAGGACACAAGAATTGGGAAATTATTTGCTGAGAACATATATGTTGACGTGCTTGATTGAGCCAATGCACAGTGTATTTTGGATGGAAAATTCATATGTGTGTTGTGATGAGAAAAAAAAATTTATAATAAAAAACAAAGTATAAAAAAAAAAAAAAGGAGGGAGAAGAGGATAAAGACAGCAGTGAACAATAGAGAGGCAGGATGTTAATGAGAAATAGATATGGTTTATTACCTGTTGATGATGACATGTATAGTATTCTCAACTGAACCGGTCTGGAAAGTATTTCATGATGGGTGAAGTCTTTTTAATAAGCAAAATGAGAAATAGTGATTGACTGTTTAAAAAAATTATAATAATAATTATTGGGAAAAGCATGGAAAAGACATTGAATGATAAAGCGGGGAGATTGATGTCTCTGTATTGACTGATATGCATGGCATTCCCTTTTGAAAAAGCAATGGAAGTCAATGTAAAGTTATATGTAATCCAATGTAATATAAAGAAGATTATGATGATAATAAAAAAAAAAGATAATCTGAAAAAAAAACCAATACATTAAAAATACCTATTTGATGACTGCAATAAGCTATATAGCCCCAGCTAGGTGCTACTTTATAGTATGTTCAGTCTCCTCACTGAGGTTTATGCCTAAAGTCAGACTTGTGTTCATGGATATGTATATATCAGCTGTGCTTGCTATTGAAAAGATTTAGATTAATTAAGATCTTTAGTGCATCAATAAAACGTGGGCGGAGAAAGGCATAGAAAGCAACCATAGGTACCAGACACAGTGTGGGAGGAGGGTGGGAGATGGCAGAGGGTGAGAGATAGGGAATCAAGGTTGGGAAAAAAAAGCAAAATGTACCGGAAACAAGAAATGGAAAATTATTTGTTGACGAAAGCACATATGTTGATGTGCTTGATTGAGCCATATACAGTGTATTCTGGATGGAAAATCTCATTTTGTATGCTATAATGATGTATAGTAAATGAATGTAAATAAATAAATTTAAAGAAAAAAAAAAAGTCCATAAATAATACAAATACTTAAATACAGAATATTATGGGTCATATGCATCTGCCTACACAGCTATACATACTCCAGTCTACCTATGTATTTATCAAAGATTATCTCTACATATTCTTACATATCTATATCTCTATCTATCTATATCTATATATGTTGCCATCTGCCTGTCCAGTTACCCATCAATCGATCAGAGGTAAAATCCACAGGAACCCCAGATGAATTGATTCATTCGTTCGTTTGATAAAAATTGAGCACCAACAAGTAATGAGGAAGGCAGGGTGCCCAGAGGTAAAAAGGAGGAAAGAAATGAGCTAACGTATCACTGATCTGTAGTTGGGATATACTGTGTGACCCTGGTAATGTTCCTGCCAGGGGAAGAAACCGAAGTTCGGGGAAGGGCAGGTCACCTGGGGGGCAGGGCCACCTACATAGTTTTCTGAGTCCAGTACAAAATGAAAGTGCTGAGCTTCTTGTTCAAAAAGCAAGGAAAGGGGCAGGCAGGTGGTGTGGTGGTTAAGGTGCTGGACTCTGGCATGACAGACCATGATTTGAGTCTTGGACCTGGCAGCTTGCTTTCTCACTTTCCCTCTCTGTTTCTCTTTGCTCAAATTAAAAAAAAAAAATAGTAAATAAAAAAATGAAATAATTCTAAAACAAAAAGTAAGAAAAGAGTAATACTACTAAGTACCCAAACAGCGAACATGTTTCTTTCTTTGCAGTCTCTCTCTGTTGGCCTGTCATGGTGGAATTTTTCTTTTAAGATTTATTTTCATGTTATTTGATCACTGTTACTGTTTTTAATTTGCTATAGGGCACACATGATCACCAGAGACAGACGGAAAGAAAGTGAGAAAGCAAATGAGCGAGATCTGGGACTAAACCCATGGTTGGTCATGAAGGAGTCTAGGGCCCTAACCATTGCGCCACCTGCTGGCCCCTGTGGCGGTATTTATTTGCTATTTTGTGCCTTGCTCCTTTGGGCCTGGGGATACCTGGGCAGTGAGGATAGACTCTCAGATGCAAGGCTGCCCTGGGATGAGGTGCATGTGCTGCCCGCCAGCAATGTGGCCAGTTTGGGAGGAGAACCCAGTCAGGCTTTGATCTTTCCCAAAGCCCATCCCCAATCTACCTTGAATGGGCAACCGCCTAGGATTGGGGTCGGGTGAGATGGGACCTGACCTCAACCCTTCTCATGCATGTGCCTGGACTCCTGGGGATGAGGGCAGCAGTGGTCTCTGGGCTGAGTTAGGAGTGGGAGACACTAGGGGGCCCAAGAGCAGGAAGAACCTATGCTTCAGAAACAGATGGGAGGTACACTGCCCACGACGCAGAGCGCTGCCTGCCCGTGCAGAGGCTCCATCACTTACCACACACAAACTCAAAGACAAAATGAACAATTTCAAGATGGCAGCCATAAGCAGTGATCTCTAAGGGAGTCCATGAAGCCGGCCCTGAGGCACATGGTAAAGAGATCTAAGGTCAGGTCAGACTGCTGTCAAAGTCCCCACTTCCTAGTATGTTTGAACAGCTTCAGGGCAGGAGGATCAACCATGGAGGGTCATGAAGGTTAACAGCCAGTGGCAAGTGGAAGCTGAGCTGGGGGTCTCTGCAAAATTGCTTTTGCATATATACCCAGAGAGAAGGCAAATAGCTGCCCCTCCTTTATTTTTTCACGTTTATTTCTTCTATGAGTGACACACACTCTTGCACATACCCCAATAGTGGCACAGTCTTCATACTGTGATCTACCCCCAGACTCAGCTGGCTCTGATCATGAGCATGTGCACCTGTGAGTGCAGGGAAGGCTCTAGATGGGAGCCAGCATGTCCCCATGGGGGTCAGCCTTGCAGAGTGGCCACTGCTACACCACTGGCCCTGATGGCTGCCTTTGGAAGATAATGTATTTCTCTTCATATACTTTCCTGCAAGGAGTTCAAATTCTTTACAGGGATAAGGTATTTAAAAGTACTATGTGGTGGGACCAGCAGTTAACATATTGGCTATGTCACTGGACTCCCATGTGGTCAGCTGCGGTTTGAGTCCTGGACCCGGCAGCTTAAAAACTCATGCCCGGCATTTGTGTGTGTGTACCCAAGATCCTGAGAGGAGAATGGAGGAGAAGGGATTGCGGCGTGGCTATCCCTGCTGGGGAGGTGATTTCTTGCTTTCTATCTCTCTATCTCTCTCTGTCTCTCTGATGAGCACACGTGCCCTATAGCAAAAATCCCTCCAAAAAAAGGAAAAAAAGTGTACTGTGTGGGGATCAGCAGTGGGCGTAATGGCTATGTCGCTGGACTCCCACGTAGTTGACTCCCGTTAGAGTCCTGGACCTGGTGACTTAAACTCACGCCAGGCGCGTGTGCATGTGTGCCCAAGATCCCGAGACAAGAATGGAAGAATGGAGGAGAAGGGATTGCAGCGTGGCCATCCCTCCAGGGGGTGATTTCTTGCTTTCTGTCTCTCTCTGTCTTTCTGGCAAGCTCATGCACCCTATAGCAAAAACCTCTCAGTTAGCGTAATGGCTATGTCGCTGGACTCCCACGTAGTCGACCGCGGTTCATGTCCCGGACCCGGTGACTTAAAACTCACGCCGGGCGCGTGTGCGTGCGTGCCCAAGATCCCGAGAGGAGAATGGAGGAGAAGGGATTGCGGCGTGACCATCCCCCCTGGGGGGTGATTTCTCGCTTTCTGTCTCTATGTCTCTCTCTGTCTGTCTGGTGAGCACACGCACCCTGCAGTGAAAATCTCTCCCCCCCCCCAAAAAAAAAGGGACTATATTAAAAAATACAGTCTTTTGACCTTCAGAATAAATTTTTCTGGTGACAGATGCCCTTTAGAGCAGGAAGATGACTGGCACAGGAAGGAGACTACGTGCCTTTTCATCACATATCAGAGTGAGGAGTATGCGCACCTTTGCAAGGAAAAGGCGATAAACCCTACTTTTGGTTTCCCTTTTAATAAAAGATCTGAAATATCTGTAAAAAACATGTGTTCAGTCTAACTTTTCTACTACAGACCAAACTGCCCTTTAAAAACTGGAAAATGCTACAGACACCTCAGGTTGACTTCTTGCTGCGAGACTCTGGAGTGAGGCAGCCTGGGTTCAGTCCTGGCTGTGCGCCTTACTGACCTATGTGATCTTGAGCGAGTCATTCTAGGCCCTCCGAGCCTGAGTTCCCTCACCTATGAAATGGGTATGACAACTGGAACTTGATGCCGCGTAAAGTTGCAAGGACTAGATGATTGAACACACCTAAGGTGCTTAGAATAGCACCTATTGTTACTAACCGACTTTGTCCTACATTTGCAACCATTCGTGAGTTTTGCAATTTTTGGCCAGTCATCTGTTACATTTTCCACCACGGTCCAAATTCAATTTTTTTAAAGTAGTTTTTTGATATAAGGCATGTATGCTTACCAGACAGAGACAGAGAGAGGGAAAGTGAGAAGGCACCCCCAGGAGGAATTGCCAGGCCACAGTTCCTTCTCCTCCATTTTCCTCTTGGGATTTTTGGGGGCACACTCATGCCTAGTGTGTTGATCCAGCTGCAGGGTCCAGGACTTTAACTGTGCAGCTGGCCAAGTCCGATCAGCTGCCTTAACACCATGCTGCCTTTTGGCCCCAGATTACATTTGAAACAATAAGTTAATTTTTTAAGACAGGACCCGTGTTGCTGTCCTCATGCCTCTGTCTCCTAGGTAGGACCACAGGCACGGACTACCATACCTGGGCATTTTGTTTGGACAGGGTCTCGCCATTGGCCAGGCTGGCCTCAAGCTCGCGATCTTCCTCTCGGCCTCCACTAGTAGCTGAGATTACAGGCACATGCCACCACTCCAGAATTTTAGCGTGGACCAGAACGGACCCAAATCTTATGCGTTGTCCCGGTGTGCGGAGCATGGTGTCTTAGGAACCTGTGCCACAAGGCTGGGCCCACATTACTTTTGAAGATATAGTAACAGAAGGAACAAGTCCCCACAATGGGCTTTACTTCATGCTTATGGTATTTCCCTGCGCAAAAACCTTCAAAACTGGCAGAACATCCAGCGTCTACTGCCAATGGTGTCCCTAGGGCCCCCCCAGACCTCTCACTCCCTGGCCTTGCCTGTTCTACCTGCTCTTCTCTTCTGGTGCCACTTCATTCTCGAGCCTTTGGGGATTTCAATTTCCTTCCTCCCCAGAGCTCAGTTCCCAGACCCTCCCTGCCAGGAAGCCCTCCCTGATAACATACCAGTGGAGCTACAGCTGCTGGCTGTCATGCTGCAGGCTGTGCTGGGCCTCAGGGCCTCTGTATTCCTCTTTCATTCTAGTCACAGCCTTAGAGTCCGGGAGGCCATTGGCTTGGGTGGGAGTGTTAGTGTCCCACCACCAACATCACACTACCTCTCCCAGCAAAGAATGGGATCACCGTGTGCTTAGCTGTCTCACCAGCCCAGTACTTAGCTTAGGCCAGCACACTCCATAAAGACTTTCTGGGTGACTATTTCCTGTGTGACTTGAAGTGGAACAGGGCTTAATTATCTATAATTACAAAATGCAAATAAGGCATTTCATAGGTTCTGTTTTTAACTGAGATAATATGTGAAGGATCTTCAAAAAGTTGGTGAAAAAGTACATTATGACAAAACTATGCATGGATTTATCATTTGCTTGCAACACAATAAAGTCATCCTTAAATTCCATTTTCTCTCTTTTCACTTGAAAATAACTGTAGAAAATTATAATTAATTATGATTTCTGGTTTACATACAATCTTATGGCTTTTTAAGGCGTACAGACAGTGCATAACAATCAGATCCAAGGTATATTCATAGCAATCTTACTTTCATTTTTCCATGGACCTTTTGAAGTCCCCTCCTATGTCAGGTACTTACAAGGACGTCTGGTGCAAACAAAGTACCATGCACGTTTGGAAGGTAAGGACGCACGAACTCCAGTGCCCCTCCAGGGCAGACCAGCAGCCTACCTGTGCTCACACTTATAGGAAGGCCCTCCCCACTGCGGGGCCCTCTGCCCCAGGCCTACCTTGCGTTTCCTCTTGGATTTTGGCAAAGTCTTTTCAGGCGGTGTGTCCGATGTGTGGCTTGGGGGTACGCCCTCAGCGTCCTTTGCAGCAGGAGTACTCAAGACTCCTGGCTCCTGGGGCAGGTGTTCTGGGATTCTGGACAGGAGGGTCAGGTCGATTTTGACCCAGAGAGACCTGACCTCGTCACTGTCCTTCAGAGGGGAGAGAAGTTCGTTCCGACCAAAGGGGACCAGCGTGTAGAACTGCTCCTCCAGCTCCTTGGCGATGTCACTGGTGGTCCTGGCGTTGATAGAGCCTACAGGGGCCCGAGGGCCACCGCCACTGCTGATGCTGCTGGAGGCATCCTTCAGTCTCTGGTCTCCCCCGGAGGAGGCAGCGGTGGCCACGGTCTGGGCTTTGGACAGTGGGTACTCCTCCTGCTCTGATTCCAGATCCGAGTCCGAGGAGGAGGATGAAGACGAGGACTCTGTCTCAATGAACTCCTTGGATTTGGGGACGATCCTGCTCAGCCCCCGAGTGCGGCGCTTCTCGCAGGCCACCGAGGAGGAGCGCAGCTCCTTGCGGTGACTCGTTCTGTTGTTGCCACAGGGCTTGGTTTTGGTGGGCTCTGGGGGAACCACAACGCTCGCCCCGAGTGCGTCGGTGCCGATCTCCGGGCAGGCGCGGGGGCGCTCTCCCCTGGCGCGCCGGGCAGCGCGGGTGGCGGGGGGGCGGCGGCGCTCACAGCCACGGCCGCGGGCGGGGACTTCTGCTTCACACCCTTGCTCCCCGGGGCCTTGTTCGCTGTCCTCGGCCTCTGCTCCTCCTTGCAGGCGCTCTTGAGCTCCTTCTCTCTCAGGCTGGCTGGGCAAACGTCGGGAAGTTTCCCACCGTCTTGCACTTCGTCTTTAGCTGGGGGATAGTACTGAGTGCTCTCCGGCCCGTGGCTTTCATTCTGGATCAAAATAGGAGGCTTGTGGGGATTAACTTTGTTTAGCAATTTATCCAGCTGCCACTTGTTGGAAGATGCCGGCTCAGCCTGAAAGCAGAAAACCCAGGTCAAACAACATCTCATTTCAGCCCGGCTTAAGAGGGGCTTGGCTGTTTTATCACTACGGCAGCTCTGGGTCTAAGAGCAGAAGCGATGGACTCCAGGCAGGGGCTGAGGTGTGCCTAGCAAACCAGGAGAGACGCTGAAGACGACTGGACAGGGCTGCCCCCACTCACCTGTGCTAGGAAAAAGGTCAGCATGAAAGTCTGTAAGTCTAGCGGAAAAGTAAGGGGTGGGACCGCACTGAGCCTCCTTGGAACCCATTTCTAGCACTTCCAAGTATCACACCATGCATATTTAAAAAAAAATAATTATACCTATATGTATTTTTATAATTATACCTACAGACCTGAACTTGAGATTCCACGAAATTTACCTGGGGAAGAGTTTGGAGGGCCTCAGCAAGCAGGAAAGACTTCAAATTTCCTCCTAAATTTGTAAGACTTAAAATTTAGGAGGAAACCTGAAGAGGGGGCAGAGGGGAGTCTATAATCTCAAAGACCATGTAGTTACGTGATGAAGGCAGACAGGGCAGTAGTTAAGAGGGGGGGCAATGACCTGGGGCGGATGGCTTGTTAGCACTGAATGCTCCCATGCCAGAGGGACTTCACTGCAGGACTTGATCAGTCCATCCTCAACCTGCTTCCCCTGCACTTGGCCAAGATGTTCCAGACACAGAAGGGATGAAGAAACCTTTCCTGCAAACAGTTTTGACTAGTTAGAACCAAACGTGGATGTAAAGGTTTTCATTTTGGCTGGCAGATTAACTCTGGGGGTGTGGGAAAGAGGTCAGAGAATACCCTGAAATAGAGCGGCCAGTGTAGTAAAGATGCTTTTTGTTTGACTTTGTTTTCTGGAAGAGGTCACAATTTTCAGTTGAGTCTCTAAGGATCTATGTCTCAGGAAAGGTTAAGAGCCAATGACCTTTACATGGAGTAAAGGTTGATTTCTTAATATTACTAAAAGTCCATCTATCCAGCCTTCCGACCATGAAGAGCAAAGAAGTATATTAAGAAGTATAGAACTGGAGCTAGAGGGCTCCCACTTTGGAGAATTTGGGGCTTGGGGACAGTACAACAGCCAGGATCTAAGAGGATGAGAAGGACTGGGTCTTAGACACAGGGTCTAGGCTGAGTCTGGAGGAGTGTGGGGTAGTGCTCGTGCAGATGAGAAGCCTCTAAGGGGCCAGAGAGGGCTGGGGCTAAGAGGCACAGACTGCATAGTTGGGGGGTCAGGCAACCACGGCTATGGTGGGGACTGTGGACATCTTGCTGGTTGCCTACAAACAGATGAGACCAACTATACTTCATGGAGGAGCAGCACAGGGTGTCCAATGACACTGAAGGGCAAAAAACTTTCAGTGGAGGCTGGAACGGGGAAATTTCAGTGGAGGCCAGAATGAGGACATTTCAGTGGGCTCTGAGGATGGAGAAGTTTCGTCCTAGAACACAGGGGTGGAAGGGGAGACCCTTGTGGCTCTGACAGGGGGGTCTGGCCTCCCCCCACCCCCAAATTTATTTTATTTCTTCTGAGAAAATGAGAGAGAAAGAAAATCCCCCAAAGTGTCTTGCCATACTACAATCCTCCCCAGCCAGAATCATGGGTCTACACAAGCCCACTTGGAGTCAGGTCAACCTATGATCCAAACCCAGACCCTCCCTGTGGCTCCAGCAACTGTGCCATTGAGATTGGGGGAGGAAGGAGTCTGGGATTTGACTTGACTTTGTGCTTTGTTTTCATGCACATAAAACCCCAAAAGATACATTTTTTTTTTTTTTGGAGAGATTTTCACGGTAGGGCGCGTGCGCTCGCCAGACAGACAGAGAGAGACACAGAGACAGAAAGCGAGAAATCACCCCCCAGGGGGGATGGTCATGCCGCAATCCCTTCTCCTCCATTCTCTCGGGATCTTAGGCACGCACGCACACGCGCCCGGCGTGAGTTTTAAGCCACCGGGTCTGGGACACGAACCGCGGTCGACTACGTGGGAGTCCAGCGACATAGCCATTACGCTAACTGCTGGTTCCCAAGATACATTGTTTTGATGCCTCTGAACTGTTTGTGTAAATTCTGACACTGGTGTATTTTGGATTTTGCAGAGAAAGAGAACAAGGGAAACCAATGCCAACAGAGCACAGCTGGTCCATGCTGCCATGGTAGATGGCTCCTGTGACCAGCGAAAGCAGAGGAGCAGGACATGGAACAGCTTCTTTGCCAAGGGAGAGCCCTCACCTTCCCATTTCTTTCAGTATGCGACCATTGGCAAGTCAGCGGCTGCTCCTGTGCCTCGGCTTCCCTAGACACACGGTACCCAGTAAGTGTGAGGACGCTGGAGGGGCTCTTGCAGAGAGGGTGCACACATTGGGAGGGGCACTAACACTTCTGTGGCCCAACTACCCTGTTTAACACTAGACCTGAGGACCAACAGGTGGCGTAGTGGTTAAGGTGGCAGACTCCCGCACAGCTGACCACAGTTCAAATCCTGGGCCCGGCTGCTAGAAAGTCAGTGTGGGTATGTGTGCGTGCATGCCAAAATCCTGAGAGGAGAATGGAGGAGAAGGGATTGCAGCATGGCCATCCCCTGAGGGGTGATTCTTATTTTTCCTCTGTCTGTCTCTCTCTGTCTCTTTCCAGTGAAGGCACGTGTCCTATGGCAAAAACCTTAAAAAACAAACAAAACACACACACACTAGATCTCCCTCACTGCCACTAGCTTGAGCCTTCCACAGCTTGTGCCTCTCATGTGAGAGAACACAGAAGCCTGCCTGTAGCCAAAACACAGCTGCACACGGGAGACTGGCACTATGACTTCCTAGTGGGAACATTAACAATGAAGGGCAGATTTGAATAAATTTAGTACAGGCCCATTGCCTGATGTATTTTAGGGTCATTTTTTTCTGCAATTCACAGCTGAAAAAATCGGTCTGAAGTACCATTTTCAACATATCACTAAACCACACTTGCTTTCTCAAGGATCTACAAAAACCTCTATTGCCTCTTAAACGAAATCCAAATCCCTCAGGCTGGTGTTCAAGGGCCCCCATCCTCTTGCAATCATCTTTCATTGCCAGAACACCCACAATATGCCTCCCACTTTACATATCTTATCGGATCGAATCTAATCTTTACAGATCAGAAATGTTTCCACCCTTCACTTGCAGATGAGGCTCAGGGACGTTGAGAGACACCCTTTGAACCGCATAGATACCAGGTTCCACCATGACTGAACTACTTGTCTATTAGGTGTAAAGACCACATCCGCTCCACTACTGTTTCCGCTCTTCGGCAGTCTCAGGAAAGGGGGGCCGTATTCCTTAGAGAAATGTTAGACTTCGACCTAAAAGGATACAATCAGGTCTGAGTTTTGGAGAAAGCATTCCTAACTCCCCAGACGACACCTGCCACTGTCTGTTACACTGTGCTGCGTGGTCTTTGACTGCTCCTGTGTATTTCACGTGCACATGCCTCATGTCTTCATCAAGGCCAAAGACATCTTTCAGGCCAGAGCCAGATCTGTGTCTTTTGTATTCTTTGCCTTGTCCCTGATAGGTCACAGAGACAGAGCGCTGTGACTCTACTGCGATTGAGAACGCCTCCCTGTGGCCTGTCACCCACATTGTATCACTTACTCCTTACAGCCACCTGACAGATTAGGCAGAGCAGGAATACGTGCTATTCTGGAGATGAAAAAATTGGGGATGGAGAAGCTGAAAAGAGAAAGAGTTGAGTGGCTGTGGAGGAGGAAACACTCGGGGCTTCAACTTCTTGTCCGCCGGTGTGTGGCTGGCCCTGGGCCACTTCCTGAGTTGTTCGTCAGAGCTTTTAGGCAGTGTTTTTGCTTGTTTCTTGGCTTGTTACTTTATATTTTCAGCCATGAGTCTCTTCCCTGACTAATCCTCCCTCTGACTCATGTACGAGAACCCCACAACCTACGTCAGTGCCTTGTTCATCTCCATCCCTCATACCGCCCACTGCCATGGGCCCAGGATGGCTCATTAAGGAGAAACTTATTGCATCAATGAGCAATTCCCATTATGTTTATTCTGCCTTGGTTTTTGATTGCCACCGTTGAGAGAGAGAGGGGGGGGGAGAGAGAGAGAGAGAGAGAGAGAGAGAGAGAGAGAGAGAGAGAGAGAGAAAGAGAGAGAAAGCACCCTCCAATAGGACGTGTTCACACTGCAGTTCCTTCTTCTCCGTTTCTCCATCCTGTTGAGATTTTAGACATGCAAGCACACATGCCCTGTGTGGTTTTCAAGCTACCAGGGCTGGGATTCGCACTGTGATCTGCCATATGGGATCTGGCTCCCTTAATCACTTGGCTACAGGGCTGGCCCTCTACTGCTTTTTAAGAGTAATCTAGGGCTACAACTTCCAAAATGTATTGTCCCCATGGTCAGATAAATTTGGGAAATGCCTCAGTGGAATCAGAGTTTACAGAGCCATAGAAGGGCAAGGTGGTGCTCTATGTAAAAACACGGGGTAACCTAACCTAATTTGTCCCAGAACTCCTCAAAACTATGTGATCAGGCTCCTTCCCTCTCCCCCCCTCCCCCACACACAATGTGTATTACTTGGGCAACGCTGGACAGGCTTTGTGTGCTGGTGTGGTTGTGCAAGCTGAGTGGAGAGGCAGCTTCCCCCGCTAGAGCTCTGGCATGAGAGGACGTACACTGCCAGGAATAAAGGTAAAACTCAAGTGAAAAAAATTAGTCCAGGACCAGAAATGTCAAGTCATGGAGGGGAAATTGGCAGCCATGGACATATAGAGGCTCTTCACAGAGCTCTTCCTTAGTTTGGGGCATTACTACACTATGGCACTTCAAGTACAATGAAGTGGCTTTCAACAACCACAGCCATATCAACAGTTCATATAAAACTGACCTGAGGGGGCCAGACTGTGGGATGGAAGTTAGGGTGGCTGAATCCCACACGGCCAACTACAGGGTTCAAATCTCAGGTCCGGAGGCTTAAGAAAAATGCCAAGTGCATGTGGCCAAAATCTTGAGAGGAGAATGGAGGAGAAGGGACTGTGGCTGACTATTCCCACTGGGGGATGATTTCTCTCTCTCTCTCTCTCTCTCTCTCTCTCTCTTTTGGGTGAGCACATGTGCCCTATAGAAAAACTAAAAAAACAAAAACAAAAACAAGAAACAGAGAAACACACAAAATCCAAAACAAAACGAACACAGCTGAGGGCCGGCTCAGTGGTGTAGCAGTAACGCTCTGCTAGGTCCATATGATCCTCAGATCATGAGTTTGGTTCCCCAGTTAGCTTTTAAGCACTGGGCATGCACCCAGGACCTTGCCTGGCTGGAAGGGCTGGTAAGGGATCATGATGTGACACCTTGTAGGAGGGTGCTTGTGTCTCTCTCTTACTTTCATAAAAATAAAAACAAACATTAAAAAATAAAAAATATAAAACAACCTCAGCTGAGCCCAGGTGGTTTTCCAAGTGCAGGCACATGAGCGGAGAATGCAGGTGCCTTGGAACGTCCCAAGTGATGTCTAGTCCCAGGTCAGAATGTGAGAGCTGGGGAATGAGGGTCAGAACAGTTTGCCTCAAAACAGCACAGCCCGGCCTGCATGGTGGACTGTGAGGTGTGTGGCTATTCATTGTTTTGCTATGAATAATATCACGTGGGGTGCAGGAAATGCAGTCTCCTGGCTCACTGTAGTGATCTGGGCCAACTTAGCCAGAGCATAATAGCGAGGCTGTGGAGGGCAAGCAGGGCCATGCCGCTTCCCACCTTCGGCATTTGCAGTCGGCAAACTCAGTTTCTTTGTAAAGGATGTAGGTCTGTATTAACCTTGGGAAGGATGTTAAAAGCACCTCGCTTTGATTCCAAAGAGGACCGTGCATGTCACTTGCACTTCTGCATTCCCTCTGCACAGAAAGGCAGGGTATGGAAAACCACATGTGGCCTCAGGTACCTTAACTTCCAGGGCTCCATTAGCAGATCATGCTCCCTCTTTAGTGAGGGGTCTCTGAGAGCTGCTGGAAGAAATGACAAGAGCCTCATCTTTCAGCCAGCAGTTCAAGCTCTGTAATGATCTCAATTCTTTAGGAAGGATCTGCTTAAAGCACTTCATAACTAGATTGCTCTTCGGCAAGGATTCAGCCAATTCCAGAGCTCTAGGTTTTGTATTTTGGCATGCAAATAAGACTCGGTGTTCATGAATTTAACCTCCATGAGAAGGGCCTGGACAGGGTGGTCTTCACTGACATTAACGCCTTTTAACCCATCTCCTGTGTGCAGTTCTTGGAGGGTTATTTCTTATAACGAAATACGCTGTAGTTTCTCAACAGATTATGGCATAGAGAGGCTCTAAAGAAGCCTGTCTAACTCCTTTATTTAACTCTTGTTATTTTTCTCTCTCTCTGTGTGTGTGTGTGATGTTTTTGCCTTTTTTTAGACAGGTCTTGCTATGTAGAGACCCCTGCCTCATCCCCCTGAGCAGCTGGGACCACAGGTCTCCACCATCACACTTGTTTTTTTTGGGGTGGGCCAGGAATTGAACCTGAGCCTCTCATGTGGCTTCAGCCTGACAGAGCAGTGTCCAGAATGCTACTGTGGCTGGACAAACTCGTATACCTTTTAGTTTCAAACCACCCCATTAGAAAGTTACTTCTATGCGATGTGGATGTCTTCTATCATAATTCCTATATTCTAGAGCACCATGCCTATGGCTGACACTCAATAATTAGTTGTTGAATCGACACTGAATGAATGAATACAATTATGAAGCAGGAACAGTAATTTAGTTTCTGGGAAGTGCCAGGTTTATAGCCATCTTTTTTTTTTTTCTTTTTTTAAAGATTTTTACCATAGGGTGCATGCACTTGCCAGAGAGAGACAGTGAGAAAGATTGAGAAATCAGCCCTAAGGAGGGATGGCCATGCCACAATCCTGTCTCCTCCATTCTCCTCCTAGGATTTTTGGCATGCATGCACACACACCTGGCATGATTTTCAGGCCACAAAATCCAGGACTTTAACCACAGTCGGTCATGTGGGAGTCTGGCACCTTAACCACCACACCACCTGCTGGCCCCCACGTATGGTTTTTATAGGTTAATGCTGCCAAGGGCCTTCCTCTCACATAGAGACAGATGGTGGCAGAGACAGGAACCCACGTACTGAGAGCTGGCTTATTTCAGGAGGAATGGGGAGAGAATGGTGCTAACGAGGAATAGAAGACTGGGAGGAAGGACCGTTTTCCCAGTTGCTAAGTGCTCCTGCAGAAAGCCTCAGCCTCCTGAGAAGAGGCCTGAGCGGGAGAAACCTGAGGAAGTTAGTGACTCTATGACCTTGAGATGGAAACATGACCACATTCGGGTGTGGCAACGTCCAGGTTTGGGTGCAGAGCCGGAAAAACGTGCTGTTCTGGCCATGAAGGCACTCTTCTCCCAGCGCTACGGTGTGTGTATGCAGGTTGGTTTCATGTCAGAGCTCATCTAGAAATGTGGGCTCCCAAATGGTACAGCGGGTTGTAAGTAAAAAATTAAACCCCATGAGCCATGGTCATGTCAAATATTGAAACATGCAAGAAGAAACCGTTTCATTCCTTCTTTACACATCAAAGTCTATCCTTCTAGCTCCACAGACTTGAGAAGTTTCTCTCAGCCCTTTCCCAAGAATCTCTGTGCTCTGAATTACTATTTAATTTTCCCCTTTCCACTTGCAAGTGGAAATAGCAATGGTTTTTATTGGTACCTTATAATGTTTTTATATGAGGCATCTAAATCTTCCACATAGATACTCATCACAGCTATAAAACGTTTCATTATTATTTGTAGGTTGATGCTAATTTTTCTTTTTTTATTTTCGCAAAGAAAACATGGTTTAAGAAGGTTTTATTAATATTTACAGCCCTCGATCTTCTGATCTGTGACAAACTGCAAAAAGGTAAGATTCTCCCCAAGTCTAATCCATAAAACCTTCTTCGCGTGATTTATGGGCAGTCACACCTCCCAGGCAGTGAACTTCCTGGTCTAGTTATTGCCTCGGCCGACCCCGAGGGAGACCCCATCCATAGGTTATTTCCTGCCAGTGATGTTTACAGCATACCTTGGAAGTTTCTGGAAGTCAAGACAGAGACTTTTGGGCAATGAAAGATGACGTGCTGTGCTTCAGAGAAAGCTGTGCAGTTACGAGGATGTGAGGATTGCAGAGTGGGGACAAGGTGGAGCCCAAAGGTCGCCAGGCTCCTGTCCAGCAGGGGGTGAGGGGCTGTGAGAGGGAGGAAGAAAGGCGGGTGTGTGAGAGCCAGGGGCGCCAAGACCCACAGAGAGGGCGGCTTACCTCGGGGCTGGAGAAGTGGGGGGGCTTGCTGCCCTCGCTCTCGCTAGAACTGCTCTCAGTCTCCGAGTCAGATCCAGAGCTGCTCTCTGAGTCGCTGGAGCTGCTGCTGCTGCTGCTGCTGCCGCTGCTGCTGCCCTTGCAGGAAGGCACGGAGGCTCTGCAGGTGGGCGGTGGGACCACGGTGCTGCCAGTCCGCCAGGCCCCCCCGAGAATGAGAGGGAAGGAAAGCCAAGTGAGCAAACGGGAGAACACCAGCATGCTGTCACACAACCGGAGGAGAGGAGGCACACCATCTGGACATCTGTCAGCCATGACCTGGGCACTCACGGAGCCATCACCAAGGTCAAAAGCATCCTAGTAGTTAACAAAAATTATATATAAAATAATATTGGGCATGCAAGTTGGGGCCTCTTGGCAGCTGGGCACCTGTTATTTGCATAGCTTTTTTTAGAAGGGAAGGTGGTGTAATAACCTGAACAGCCATTTAAAAAAATATTTATATATTTAAAAATTATTATTCATACATTCCATCACTATACATCATTTAGATTGTGAAGAGACTTTACTCAGCATGATATACACCTCAGTCCAGCCCAGCTGAGACCACCTGCTTTTCCAGGACTGGGTTTTCAAATGCATGTCCCAATCCGATCATCTGCAAAAATGCAAGGAACTCCAAAAAGCTTGAAATACCAGGAGACAGAATTAAAGTCTGAGTTTATTTTGGAGCAAACATTTTTTTTGAAGTCCATGCATAGTTTTTAACATAATATGCCTTTTTCACAAAATTTTGGAGACCCTTGGTATTTTGCAAAGTGTGAATAAGGACTTTTTTTTTTTTGCTCTGGAAAAAAATGCAGGGATTGGGAAGAGGGTTGTCAGGAAAGGCACAGAGTTCTGCTCTGAGCTTCCATGGCCTTCTGGAAGTCTCCAGAGACTATGGGACAGTCAAAATGGAAGTCCGGCCTCTTCCCCTTTCCTGTCCTGTGAAGCACTCTGGCTGCTACAGGAGCTGCCGTGTTGTACAAACAATAACCTGCCTTTGAGCTCTTTGCTAAAAACCTGAAGATCCCTTGCTGACACTACAGTCCACTCCTAGCATAGCGGCAGACAGGAACAACATTTCAAATTTACCCTTGATGTTTCCATCTGCCCTGAAAGGTGCCATAAAGTCATTACATATTCAAAGACAACAGGAAAAAAAAAATCAATCAATTCTTTCCAATGGTAATTAACTACAAAAATTAAAAGAGCACACATCCACCCAAAAAAGTGAGCCAAAAAGAAACTTTCAGTACTCACATAATATTCAACATCTTCTCAGTCCTTTACTAACTGAATTGAAACACACCTGAATGTGTTCTTTTGAGGTCAAGTCTAAACCCAGAAAATGCTGGTCACTTTTTTATGTTTAGTCAGCAAACATCTGCTTGCTACCTCCAGCTGTGACTACTGCTTCAAGGACTGAGCACTTGTGAAGGCCAGGGGCCAGAGAGCGTGTTCAAGTGCAAACAGCCTGGACAAGGTAAAGGGCCCTTTTCACCCACCCCTTAAATCTTTGACAAAGGCTTTGCCCAAGGGCGCACTCTCATAAATCCTGAGTATGGGGATGGCAAGGGGGGGAATATTCATTGGAGCCTTGCTTCTCTTGTAAAAACCACAAGACACAAAAGTATCTTGCAGGGAATTGGAAAATAAAGCATCTTTTTGAACAGCAGGGTTAGGGGAAACCAGAGTCTGGATATAATCTTCCCCAGTGGTTTTCATTTCTTCCAGCAATGTCACGGTCCATACCAAGTGTCTGACAAAATTCTTCAACATCATGCAACATCTGCATGTCCATGCTATGCCTGAGGTGAAGTGATTCCTTTTCCAGCCTCGCATTTGTGTCTGGTATTGAATCTTGAGACTGAGTCGGGGAAGGGATGGTTGGTGCTTCTAAGAACTTCCCTTACGAAGGAAAATATATCTTTCTTATTAGCCCAGTTGAGATGACAACTATCAACAGAATCAGTAGAGGGAATAAAAAAGAGGCTAAGGGTGGCAGATGGCATGGTGGTAAGACACTGGCCTCCCACATAGCTGACCATGGTTTGAGTCTCGGACCTGGTAGCTTACTTTCTCACTTTCCCCCTCTGTTTATCTGTCTCGTCTCTGGTCAAATTAAAAATAATAACAATAATAGTAATACACAGAATGAAATAATTCTTAAAAAAAAAGACTATTGGATTCTGATCAAACATGAGCCTGTGGGATCAAGGTTAATAGTTTCCGATAGGCCCTCAAAATGCATGGGAAACACACACACACACAAACACACACACACACACACACACACACACACACACACACAAAACAACAAGAACAACCAAGCAAAACAACACATAGGTCCAAAGACTTCCTTGTTAAAAGAATGGTGGGACAGACAGAGAAGAAAAAGATGTGGCCTCCCTGCCATGCTCTGGAATGACATTTGACAAAGCCTGGGAGATGAAGATGAGGTAAAGAGCATTTGGGTTGGTTTTACGACACTCCATAGTTTTGATCACCGATCAGTACATTCCACCTGCTTTAATTCAAACCACAAAGAACACGCAATGCTGGTTTTGTGTGTGCCAGGGCTTCGTATGTACAGCAGAGGTGGTGATCTGTGTGGGACACCTTGTGGCTTATACCCCAAAGGGACTGCTATTTGAAAAGTAGCATTTTAATGTTTGGGAAAATGCCCATGAAAGTGACCACACTGCCTTCCTTTAACCGTTGTCCTACAGCGATGAAAGACGCTAAAGGAGAGCAAATCTCCAGTCTGAGCTGGACTGGCAGAAAAACCCAACACTATTGTTTTCTTTCCTTAAATTAGGAAATTCACTGAAAATGACAGTTTTATTTGCATTATTATTATTTGTTTTTGAAAGCTCTTAATACAGCTAAAAGAGCCAAGAATTTAGGTTTCTCTTCATGCTTTGCTTGAAGAGGTGGTGAAGCGCATCAGGATTGCATACATTCTTGTTTCGAAGGCTGGGTAGAGCATAAAGCTAGAGACAATGCGTGTCCAGGGGAGGGCGGCGTGGCTGGAAGGACTCTGGTGACTCCAGACGTGGGATCTAGTAACCATCTCCACCTCTAAGGAGGAGCTGCACTCGGCAGTCTGTGTGGGTCACCGGAAGGACAGATCATTCTAGCCTCAGGGTGAAGACTGCTCCTGCCATGAATGTGCGTGGCTCCTTTGTGTCAGCTGGGAAGGAGGTAAAATGAGGAATCTGGGACCACCATCCCTAATAAAAGGAGGGCTCAGGTAACCCAGGATGGCTCTTTGGAGTCACAGGATCCGAAAGATAGAAAGACATACTAAAAAGATCTTATTAAAGAAGACTTAAGGCTTTGTATATTTAAAATCGCAAACTGGAAATTTTAGTGCGCCCACTGGTTGTCATGGCTGCACACCAGAGATAATGAACTTGGTGGGATTTTTCCTGAGATGATCATGTGGACGGCTTGGGGTGATGACATGATGTCAATCTTCAGGATTCTAAAACCCACCAGGTGTTTGGACCCTACACCACTTCATGGACACGGTGTCACCGACAACAGACATGAGACGTGACTGAGATTATGGAGTAACAGCTGCGTGTCACCAAAGCTTAGGACAGTGCCTGGCCCGTGACGGGCATTCACAGGTGATTACTGAATGCAAATTCAATTAAAAACTGTTACGGGGTTAATGAGTTTTTAAAAAAGAGACTTCACCTTTCAAAAAGGGTACCATCTCTATTTCCCAATAAAAATATATTTAGTTAGATTTCGTCTCTTGTGCTCTTCTGGGTTTAAAACTTCATCCTTTCAGAGTATTTCTTTAAATGAACTCTGATTTTCATCTGCTATAATTTAAGCACTGTTCTCTTTTGAATGACTCACTTTTATCTATCTATCTATCTATCTATTTATTTATGTTTGCATACGCTTGCTGGAGAGAGACAGAGAGAAAGAAAGTGAAAAGTCACCCTAGTGGGGATGGTCATACCTCAATCCCTTCTCCTCCATTCTCCTATTGGGATTTTAGGCACACACACACATGCCCAGTGTAATCTTCAAGCCTCAGGGTCTGGAAATTGAACCATAGTTGGCCAGGTGGGAGTCCAGCACCTTAACCGCTATGCTACCTGCTGGACCCCTCATTTATTTACTTTTTGTATTCTGATTTCACAAAATGTTTTGCTGGTTCTGAGAGTGGTCAGGACCACATGCTCACACCTCTGACAGATGTCCATTTTTTTTCTACATGACCTGTTTGCTGTGTCCCTTCTTTTGGCTGCAGTGTCACATTCCTTTCAGAATACAGCCTGGGCTATACATGAGTACAGACCATAAAAGAAACAATCTGGAACCAAAATGACAAATCCACAATATCACAATCAGTGGTGCTCCTACCTGCCAGGTGCATTGTGGGGCCTGGATAAATACCTGAAGTTGTCCACAGTCTTTTTTTTTTTTTTTTTAAGAGGTTTTTGCTATAGGGCGTGTGGACTTCACCAGGAAGACAGAGAGAGACAGAGAGACAGAAAATGAGAATCACTCCCCGGGGGGATGGCCACACCACAATCCCTTCTCCTCCGTTCACCTCTCGGGATCTTGGGCACACACGCACATGCGTCCGGCGTGAGTTTAAGCCACTGGGTCTGGAACTCAAACTGTGGTTGACTACATGGGAGTCCAGCGACATAGCTATTATGCCAACTGCTGGTCCCGTCCACAATCTTTTAACTGACATGTAACTTGGAGCCGGACTCTGTGCCTGGCTGGCACTGTGTGGACAGCCGTGATGCCCGGCCTAGTGCCACACATCCTATGGGCATGCTGCCAGTGTGACTGCATGATGAGACACAGGTCCTGGGCACTTGTGCTCTGTAAGAACTCAGCAATGCTGGAGTTCCAAACTGTCACCTGTGCCCCAGCAGCCATACTCCAGCACTGACAGCATCTCTCCTGACATGAATTGATCTAAAACCATGACCACATTATGACAAGCAAAAATGCTAAAAGCTAGTTTGAGGGTTCCTTGCTGCTGGAGTTGCCTTCCTCTAAACAAAACGGAGAGGACTGTGGGTTCTAAACTGCGCTGTGTTGGTGTGCTCTGCAGTATCTCCAGAAACAGTTTTTCTGTAACGTCTGGCCTTTGAAGCTCCT